GACAATAAAACCCGTAGGGACCTACTGTCAGATGTAGGATCTGAGAGTGAGCACACCTTGTCAGAATGAACAACTGTGAGTGAGTCTGAGCACTGCTGGGTAAAGCTCCTGGCTGCCATCTGTGAGATGTGAGTACATGTACTCTGATCTCCCCCCTGTTCACGTGGAAAAAGACTGAGTATTTTCTGGGTGGCTGGTTATATTGCAATGAAGAAATCTCTCTGTACAATGAAAAGACTTGGCTGCTGAATACAAGAAAACAAAGGTAAACAGGAGGGAAGAGGTTGGAAAATGCAAAACAGTAACTCAAACAGTTATGAGTATAAATTTTAGCAATACAGAAATGTTTTCATAGAATTTTTCTTCATCAAGTCAGAGCTTACATTAAAGTTTAGGACAATGAACATGTGGTCCTAGAGAAAATCTACTTGCATCCAACTAGAATATAAGAGCAAACACCCCTATGTGCCACAGAGAAGGAACACAAGCAGTTTCCCAAAATCCTTCTAATATAGTCTGATATGAGGGAGAAAAGAGCAGCTTTAGCTAAGATTAAAAGTAATAATTTAAAAATTCTTAATAATCCAAATATTTTAAAGAACAAAATAAAATCTCCACGCTCTGAGATTTTTTTGCCCCTTATGCAAGCAGCAGCTCGATTGAATCCTTACTTCTCCCAGGCTTCACCCAGTTGTGAACAGCATGTTCCAGAAGAAATACAGCATATATTTTTATAGGCAAGCTGTCAAAATTAACTGAAGGGATATACTGGAAAGTTCAAAGAAGAATATTTTACTTCTGTCTTGGTAGTATTTGTATCTTTCCACAATTCTGAAAGTTTGAAAAAACTTTCAGAAAAAAATCACTTTGTTCAGTAGAAGAAGAGGAATTATCAGCCTGCTGAAGTTAAAGCTTGAATTTCTGAGTTGGTAAAATGTTTTGGAAAAGAACTTGGGACTCATCATTACTGAATCAGCTGGCTCAAACTTGATCTGATCCCACTGCAAACAACATTTGAGCTAGAGACTGGATGTGCACACTTGAATCACAACTCAAGCTGCTACATCCCTACCTGTATTTCTAAGCCTGCCCTTAGTTACATTCTAATATTAAACTTACAGAGACTGAAAGGGCACCAGTATTATTTATCTTGATTTTGAGATAGTTTCAGAAGATTTGGGGCAGGGTGAAAAACCGAACTAAGTACTCCATATAATGTGCCCACCATATATGTTGCACGACAAATAAATTTACTAATGGATAGAATGAAATTGGATAGAATGCATTTCACTTCCATGGTACAAAGTATCCAGCCAAGGACTGCCAGACTCCACCACTAAAATAAAAACTACTGATGTTTTGCAAAAAAAAAAAAATTAAATAGCATTTGAATAGAGCCTGAAGTCTTATGATGGGGCTTTGAACAATCTGGTTTAGTGGAAGGTGTCCCTGCTCATGGCAGAGGGCTTGGATCTAGATGGTCTTTAAGATCCTTTCCAACCCAAACCATTTTAGGATTCTGTGATCTTTTCATTTTGTGGCCCCACTTAGTGAAATTTTTAGATTATCCCTTAAGAGTTTTGCAATATATGCTTTAAAAAAAATAAAAACGTTTTACCAGAATAGTTTGAATGGGTTTGAATGGGTGTTGCCCCTGCAAAAGGAAAAGGCCGAACTTTAAAAATTATTTTTAGTAAGAAAAATGCATTCTCAGAATTATTGGCAACTGAAAAGCCTAAATACACAAAATACACTACATCCAAGATTTTCTGAAGGCACAGAAGCAATTAATTCCTGCTCAAACTAAGTTTGATTATTTGCAAGAAAGATTATTTGCTACTGAGCATGGACAGGATAAAGTATGAGGGCGCTCTAGGTGCTGATTTCAGCCAGTGGTTGAAAAAGGTGAGAGACAATTTGGACATCAGTCTACCTGGAAAACCTCATGAACAGTATGACAGCACCTATATTCCCTCTAGAGACAGCTCCAGTAGAGATTCTTACACAAATCTTATTTCTCCTGCAAATGGTTATATTACAGTGTAAGCATTCCAATACAATTTTAATTTATGCTTCCTTCCCCTTCCATGCAATACAGTGCCTTACTTTTTTTCAGCTTTCTATACCCTTGCCCTGATCTAATGTCTCCAGGACTCTACAGCTTCATACCCAAAACACTTCCACACTTGTGACAGAATCCAAGAGCCTCTTGCATCTTAGAGGGCTTATCCAGCTGGAGAGGCTGCCACAGAGTGCTGGCACAAGAGCTGTGATGCATCAGACCTCTCAACGTTGTTCTCTCCCATACTCACACCTCCCACTTTCCTTCTCCTCAGCTGCCACCTTTTAGCAGCACAGGAACAGGCACATATGTTGAAGTCTGCTAAATTACACAGAATATCTTCTATTATACCATAGATTCAGCCTCCTGGTGCACTGAAGTACATCACTACACCAGTGCTTCTGAAAGATTCTCTGGTGTTAGACATGTTTACTGATATATTTACAGAGCTTTACACGTTGAGTGCTACATAAAAATAAACCAGGAAAATTCCAAATGCTGGATCACTGAGGTCTGACATTATACAAATGCTACTGCACCAGTTGCTTTCACACATGTTCTCAGAAACAATCCCAGTTAAGGTAAGACAAGTGTAGCTTTAAGACTCAATACTGTCACAACTGTGACCACGGATATTAAGGCAGTCACTGTAAAGTCCTGTGGAATACCTGCAACTGACAGGGAAACGGCAAAAGTACAACGTTCAGCAGCTGCTAAAATGACATTGAAGCATTTTATGGAATATGAAATGGAAATGACAAACAGTGAAATTGAGATAGATTAATCAGTAACAATAATTTGACTGCATAAACAAGGGCCTGACAATGCTGTGATCTGTTTTAGGAAACAGGATTCAGAGGATTCGCACGATAATCTCATAAAATATTTAGAGAAATACAGAACCCATGAATTACAATATAATAATATACAAAATTACCATAATATTAAATAGGACCTCTTATGCTTCACAGTTCTTCTAAGCACAGAAAACAGCCACTTCATGGGTCTTCTGAAAGAAAATTTCCTTACAACTCTGGAAGTATGGCAAAGTGACATATTTCTTCCCATGAATTCAAACAAAAGAACTATCATTCAGAATTATACATTTTAATAGTAAATCAGCTAATATTCACAGCTGGACAAGCAAGGACAGACAGACCAGCTGAATATCAAACCCAGGCCCCCATAATAACGAACAACTGACAGCCAGAAGTGAACATTACACACGAAGAAAAGTAAAAAATCCTTCAGGCCCTTGCAAGATCAGTGGAAGCTCTGAAGGACAGAACTAAGTACAGCAAAACCACATGATCAACAACAGTAGACTCTTTTTAATCCTGTTCTTTTATGATAGCAAAAAATTAAGACCTTCAAAGCTGGTATCACAAGATTTTTCGAGCATTTACAATATTCCAGCCCTACAATGCAATCATATCTGTACACATCTCAAAGCAAAACACTTTAGGCTCTGTCCTCATCAGCCTGTATTAAAACACTCCGTTCCACACACAGTGGAATCTTCTGCTCAGAAAAATTTTAACTGTATCAATCTGCACAAATATTCTTTTGATCTAATTAATAACTGATTCCAAAACTATTTATGAAGAGCCATCCTACAAGAACATCTTTATAAACTTTTTAGTAACACTACCAAAATCCTGTTCCTATGCACAGTGTGTTGCAGAAAAAACAGCAAATAATATATTTGCCTCAATGAAGGCAAAGGGCTTCTGTTCCCAAAACCACTCATGTAAAGAACTTCTGCTTCACTTTCCTACAGATGAGGTCCTTTGTAATGTAAAGATATTTGCCCACCGTAATTAGTGTCATACACCTATTAAAATGACATGTTAATTGCTTACTCTACACTTCTGAAAATGTCACACTGTCTTCCTGAAGTCCTAAATGCTGAGATCCCATTCATCTTATTCCAGCAGCAGCAGAATGCTGCATCCATGTGCAGCAAAGGCACTCGCGGCACTCAGCGTTCAGGTGTCAGAGCACATAATCACAGAGAACAACTGCCACAAATAAAATATTGCTCTTTTATGAGGAAGGATTCACTTGCTTCCCGTTCTAAGAACTCGGGCCACCAGTAGGTGGTGTTGCTGGAAACGTCAAGTAGGTTTTTTTACCCCCTGTGGATGAAATGCAAAACTCCACCTGCAACCCTGGTGTTTAATGCAAAACTCAGGCTCCTCATTCTCTGTAGGGTAAGCTTATTTCATCCAAGTGATTTTGAGCTGAGCAATTGCAAGAAGTAAGAGAATGACAACATATACCTGAAAATTTAAATACAAACAGGCAAAATGGGATCGACTTGAAGGTAGGAAAACAAATTTATCTTATCCGTTTAGCAAATGACCCTTCTCAGATGCTTGATGTCTTCAATCAAATATTTCCCTTTAGATTGCCCAGAGGCTTTTTTAAAATAGCACAAATAAGAGTAATAATTGCTTTATATCTATGTAAAACATGCTTCATTGCAATTTGCAAATAAATCTCTTACTTAAGAGATTTGAACGGACTATAAAACTTAAGAAAACATCAGAGGCAGAAAGGAGAGTGCAATGAACATTAGGCAAAACAAAACTGACAAACATGAGAGAAAATACGTTTAAGTAGTTCTAGTAAAAAAGAAACCAGCAGAAACAGGGTTAATTCTAGCCTTATAAGGCTGTTCAGCAGCACTTCAACTGCACACAAATTAGAACAACCCTGGGAATCTATAAAGCTTGTTTTATTGCCAAGGACATGCAGCAAGATCTGCATTTTGCTCTTGTAAACTACCCTTTATTTAATAAGTTTTAAAGCAGAACAGACTTTTATATGAATTTTGTTTTTCCTGCTGAATCATCAACAGGTGGCATCCACTGCAGCTGTGCACACCTAAATGCAAGTTTGTACCGAGAGGACAGTGGAAGTTGGCACATCCATTACGTGTGCACCCAGCAAGGAGCAGCCTGCTGCTGCCCGGAGGAAAATCAGCTCGGGAGAAATGGAATTAAGGTAAAATAAACTGTTTCACTGTACATAGTTACCTGTAATGCTTTTAATTGCTTGGCTTTTGGCGGCCTTTCAGATGTAATTAAAATCTGACCACAGACAGACCTTTTAAAATCAATTGCTCAAGCTGTTAACTTATCTTTTATTGTATTTAAATCTGTTTTACTGCCTTATTCACAAATAAAAGGCTGTTACACAAAGACAGCAGTTTATGTCTGACTCCATAGCTGCTTGAAACAAACATCAAACCTTCTAATAAGTGTAATTTCAGATGGATATTTTAGCATGAAGGTTTACATTATTAAAATGATTCCAAACACAGCAACAGGTACTGGGAACTTATGCCGGCTTCATTATGAAATCAAAGCTCTGGAACCCATAATCTTTATTTAAGTATCTGTAGCTATTTCTGATGACTAGAATACATTTAAGCAAACTCAGAGCTGTATTTCTGACTAAAACTATCCTAACACTCCTACTCTACTCGTGGTCTGCTCTTTCCTCCCCCAGACTGCACACTGGCAGGATTTAAGTCATTAAAACGTGGAAATATGCATGAACTTTACTGCAAACAATTTTAAAAACATATTTTCATGTAAATAAAAATCAATGGTTTGATAATAAGATGCAGATTAAAGCAATTCAAATTACTTGAAACTTAACACAAATAGCCTGGTTTATAATTTTCTTGTGGTTTTATTTGTTTGAGGTGCCTTTTGTTTGGCTCTCTCTTTTTTTAAAATAAACTTCTAGCAATGTTTCAAGTGCATAACATTCAACATTTAGAAGTAAACAAATCCAATAACTGGCATTTTCCATTACTACCCGGAAGTCAGTGAAACATAATAAATCACAACAAATTGAAAACAAATTGAGCATAATAATGTTGGTGTAAATCAATATGCTGCTTGTATTACCTTCATTTCTAAAATTTGCCTTTTACTCCCACTGAAAGCAGCAGGAACCAACTGCTTTCCATCTCTGTTGCCTTCTCAGGCACAGACTCTGCTATTTATTAGCCTTATAGATAGAATAAATATATATCTATATATTTGTATACAAATACAGTTTTTCTTTATCAAGTTAAATTCAGTAATTTGATTTCTCTGTATTTCTTCATTTTCTATTACTGAACCCCTGACGGGTACACACAATTTTAACAGACTGCCCTCACAATGTATTTTGGTCTAGAACAAATTTAAATTCTTTTAACTGAACCTTTGCATTTATATTAGAACATGATGTTTCCTACAACCTCAGCTGTGATGTTAAGTTAGCAGAAGCTAATAGACATAGAACAGCGCTGGAATATGAGATTAATCGTTTTCCATTTGCAAATTGCAGGTCCAAGGATGTTCACTGATTATTAAAAGAAAACAAATGGAGCTAAAATTCCACTGCCTTCCAACTTGCATGAAGAAACGCTATTGCTGAAAAGCTTTTATTAAAGAGACCCAAGTACCACCATGGTAAAAAGATTCCTACATGATCTTAAGGCATACAGGAACTGCAAATTCTCTCATTTAAAATGCATATAGTATCCTGTAAAACAAATTAAGGCACTCACTATTCGTAGTAGTATTTCAGTCAGTTTTAAGTCTAATTAATCTGACTTTTAAAGCATTTCAATTTCCTATACAAAAGTTTGCATCTTTTTCAATTCCAATCAAAAATGCTTACTAGGAGTCCAGTTGAAACAAATCAAAAATCTGATTTTTTTTGTATTGCCACCAAACTGTGAGTACTAATATCTTTTCTGCAGATATTTTAACCATGGAAACTTATTCTGCCTCAGTATCACCTGTTATATGTAACAGCACAACTTTTAACCTGAATGGATCCCATTTGTGTAACGAAAGCATATCCTCTAGATTAGCTGATAAATCAGAACACCAACAATATGTTATTGGCCTTTTCTTATCATGTCTTTACACAATATTCCTTTTTCCTATCGGTTTTGTGGGAAACATTCTGATACTGGTTGTCAACATTAGCTTTCGGGAAAAAATGACAATCCCAGACCTTTACTTCATAAACCTGGCAGTGGCTGATCTCATTCTAGTGGCTGATTCCCTCATTGAGGTGTTTAATCTTGACGAGAAGTATTACGATATCACCATCATTTGTACCTTTATGTCTTTGTTCCTTCAGATCAACATGTATAGCAGCATTTTCTTTCTGACATGGATGAGTTTTGACAGATACCTAGCACTGGCCAAAGTAATGAGGTCCAACCTATTTCGCACTATGCAGCACGCTAGACTGAGCTGTGGGCTCATATGGATGGCATCCATTTCGGCAGCTCTAGTCCCATTCACAGCCGTGCACTTACAGCACACCGGAGAGGTCTATTTCTGTTTTGCAGATGTAAAAGAAATCCAGTGGCTAGAGATAACCCTGGGGTTTATTATCCCCTTTGTGATCATCGGTCTTTGTTACTCATTAATTGTTCGAGTCCTCATAAAAGCACACAAGCACAGGAGTCTGCGTCTGCGGCGACAGAAGGCTCTGCGCATGATTTTTGTTGTTGTCCTGGTTTTCTTTATCTGCTGGCTCCCTGAAAACGTCTTCATTAGTGTCCAACTTCTCCAGAGGAAAAGCGAGCCCGTCTCTTCAAACAGCCCATCCTTCAGGCATGATTATCCTTTAACAGGACATATTGTAAACCTAGCAGCTTTTTCTAATAGCTGCTTGAACCCCTTGATTTACAGTTTTCTGGGGGAAACCTTCAGAGACAAACTGCGACTGTACATTGAACAGAAAACAAAAATGTCAACTTTGCATCGCTTCTGTCAGGCTGCCTTAACGTCTGTCATTCCTGACAGTAATGAGCAATCAGAAGTCTGATTTAGTGTCATTGTATCAAACATATGACTATGAAGTTGTGCAAATTGTGAACAAAATGCTTGCTACTAACAGAAAAGTGCATTTGTGTGTGTATATATATATATTGTATCGCTCTATTGAGTACTGAAGGTTTATATTCAAAATGTTTTTATGACAAGACTTCAATGTAGAAGAATATGTTTTAGTCAGATTTATATTTAATTATGAACAGGATTATTAAAAGCTGAGCACTGAAGAAGCTTTATTTTGTATTACACATGTATGAATGACAATATAAGAGAAAATTTTATCAACTTGAGAAGACTGTAGATGTAATCTGATTATCAGAGATGATACTTTGCTGGTGTATATAAGGTACTTCCAGTGAAATAATGAAGCTTCCGTAACAGTGAGGAAAAATCATTACAACATATTGACGTGAAGATGCAGGAAACATTGATTGTTTTTCACCCAAACATGTTAAGATGAATTACTTTGCTTACAAGAACTACATGGTACTATCGTCACTGTATTCTAGCATGTCTTCCATGATTAAGTTTTTAATCTTAATATAATCGAGCACAGTGATGACTTTTTGTCTCCTAAATGTAATCTACTGTTTACATCAGTACTTGATCAAAACCAAAATCATCTGTAACTATAGTGCTCATCTCAAAGAACTTCACAGAAGCAAAATGTAGTGCTTCATTCTGTCTTTTAAGGATTGACCCAGATGATCTGTCTCAGAACAAACATAATTGGCCTTTTTGTCAAAAATGCCAGCACACCAACATCATGTACATTCATACCTGCCTTCAGATTTGAGTGCACATTGCACAAAATCTCTTTATATTCCAGAACAAAATGCTGTGATTTTTAAGGAAGTATCACTTTCTACAAAAGGTATCGTAGAAATTGTGTAAATATTGCTTATGAAAGTGACAAAACCCTCCGTTTTTAGAAAGGAAGAACATTTGTAAAGGGAGAGTGTGATTAGTTATTATCAGATCTGAACTTCGTGCACACCCATGCCACCTCCAGAAACCCCCAGCCTTTCACCTTTCAAGACTGTAAGCATTTCAGATGCTTTGATCATTTAAAGATTAATTATACTAAGCAAACAAATGATAGCACCACTTACTGGAAAACAATAGTGTTTCTTTTCTTCTAGTGAATAATTGGGTTTTAAATCTGATTGATATTTAGCACAGGTTACTCCTGAACTTGTTCAGAGGAAGCTATAAAGTTCATAGAGATTAGTGTGCAAGGTGATTAAAACATCACTTGCTACATCTCTCAAGTGAACAAACTCATTTCACTTCTGTGCTTATTGACTGAAGCACCAGAACTCAGCAGAATAAGATCCTCTGTCCTATTTCAAATGTCATATATGAATTAATTAGCACAATAACAGATTTTAAAGGATTTTTAAATGTAGACCTTTAAAACAATGACTAAAGCTACTAAAGCAATAAAGAAAACAGTAAAAACGATGATTCCACTCATATTTCTCATGAAATATCTCGAGTTTCCTAGTGGAATTTTCGGCCACAAAAGACTTGACCTATAAACAGAAAGGCCACAAGACGATGATGGCTGAATTTGAAATAGATTGCTGGATATTCCTGCAGCTCCAACAGGAAAGGCAGTGTGGAGTCTGAGGCAACTGCAGATTATTTGCAAGTGATTGCTAATCACAGTCTAACAAAAAATGTGTTTAGTCCCATCCTCCCTGCAGAACACTAAATACATCTCCTCTCTAGAAAGATGCGAGCATACCATGAGTTGCTAAAAAACACTCAGCAAGTCATCTCCCACAATTGTGCTGCATCACATGCAGCTCTTTTTTTCCTCAGCATTTTCCTTTTCAGAATCAGCCACAATTACTCAGGTCCTATGAACTGCCAATAGACATTAATCACACCATTTAAGATGGCTATTTCAGACAACACCCCGCTGAAGGAAGGGATAATTGTCATGGCAGTGCAATTCTGAGGAGTAAGACACATCTTGAGCTTACAGATGTATTAGGTTTGTGCAATCCTGACACTTGCCATGGATAAATAACTTATTTGGGGTTACAGGAATACACTTTCCTAATCGTAGTTGTAGCTTATTTTGATTTTTTTAGGAATAAGATCCTTTCCCCTCCTCCCTCCTTCCAATACAGAGATCACATTTTTGATCAAGTCTATAGTAGAAGACTTTCTGCTACCCCTGCAGAACACAAATTAAGAAAGTCTTTGTGCAGAAGCTTATAATAATAAACAAACAGCAATGGCAAATGCCTGCTCGTGCATCCTCCAAAGCAGTTTGTTTCTAAGTAATCATATTCAGTAATATACAGTGAAACTTAGGAAAGACCAGGTTACTATAGCATTAAGAAAACAATATTTACTCAACCCAAAACAACCTATTGCATGTTTAAAACCAAATTACAAACCTAGAATACCTGAGTTCCCTACTGCTGATATTTTGATACCAGCTTATGAACTGTGCCTGAAATTACTAAATGTAAACATACTTCTTACTTTAAATGCAAAGCACTCTCCCAGCTGAAAAAACTGCACACACCAAAGCTTTTTTTTTTCCAAACAGTAACTCTGTACAAAGTAATATTTACAAAAATGTCATGCAACTTCCATGTGTTTATGTACACAACATGCTTTCTGCAAGCCATCATCTCACAATAGCTCACTACTGTGGCTTATCCATGGACCAAAGGATCTCTGATGTGTCTTTTTTTTTAATTTCAAAGAACATAATCACCAGTAAATAAAACATCTTTTAGAGCATAGAGGAAAAATGGAACGGGAGCAAAAATTTTGATACAACTCCTTCACTTTTTATTTCTGGTCTCTGATGAACTGTTTAATTGCTAAGTTGAAGGAAAAGATTCCATATGCTCTTCTGAAACACTAGACTGATAACAACTATGAGATTTAAAAACCTGCTTATCACAGGTGCTTACAATCTTTGCTGTAATAGTCTATATCAAGTTTCCAGACATGAAAAGTCTAGAATTATGAAAAGCTCACAGAAAAGAGGAGAGAAGGAAAAATCAAAAAATCACTGAAACCATTAACTGCTTTTGAAAATAGTACCTCAGAAGAAAAATGCCTTGAATGCACAAGGTATAACTGACTATATAGAAACAAAATAAATGCAAACAGCACAAACTACCACCAATCCAGACCTGATGCAACCGAAAGCAAAAGGCTTCCCTCAGCTGTGTAAAAAGATAAGAGAAAAAGTTATGTGAGACGTCTGGAACATGTCAAAGAGATGCTGTAACTTTGCATTCTTTGGACAGTTTTAGGCGATACACTAAATACCAACTGTGCAGACACAACATCCACCTCTCCAAAATGCAAACTCAGTCAGCCTAAAGATAAAGCTTGATTCATTTATGAAGAGCATTACAGGATGGGAGGGCATGTGACAGTATTTGAATCAATGAGTCAGGCGATCCCAGATTCTGTGCAAGGCTTTAACATAATGTGGGCAAGATGCAAGAAAAGTCACCTCTCCCTTCAAAAGCTTGAAAAAAAATAGAGCACAAGAAAATGCTTGTAAAATTTCAGGCTATGTATCTGTGTTTCAAACAAAATTCACTGCCTGTACAGTGCAGGCTCTAATCTTTTTTCCAGCCATCAAGTTGTGTTAGAGTATAACTGAATTTTTTCCCGTGTAAGGATTTTGCTGTATTCTCTCAGCTGTTTATTAAGACTGCAAAAGGGAAAAGGTTGTCTGGACAATTTTAAATGGTTAGGATTGTCACATAAAAAAAAATGTGTTAAAGAGTGGTTTACCATAAGTAAAGCATGTCAAGTTCAAGCCTGATTATCATTAATTCCATTGGAACTTGTTTCTGCATAACTAAAAACAAATGAGTGTATGAAGAAGCAGGTTTGAATTTTAATAGCTACTCATGAAGGTGAACCAATGAATTAATTTGATTTTGATTGAAAACAATGAAGATAAGGGCTTGCTTTGAATTTAAGGGACAGTACTGAATTTAAGGATTGAAGTATCTATCCTTCCCTTTCACTCTAAGTCTCACCTTACCCATTCAGACCATCAGAAAAACATTTAAAATTTTCATCACAAAAGAACACAGGCCAAATTAATTATTTGTCATTTTTTATGGTAAAACTGGAACAAGATGTGATGGGGAACAAGTCACTTTTAAGGCATGCACACAGAACACCTTTCCCCCATACCCTTAAGCTTTGCTGTCAGCAGGTTGTGGTACATGCCCTGTGCTGTGTTTTAAAGAGAGACACCAGACATGAAAATCTGAACATCCTCCACTCATATTTATAATTCAGGTATCCTTTCTCCAACAGTATTGTCCAAACTAATTATCCTACTGTGACTTTTAATACAATAAACTTTTATCCCTTGGGTTTGGGTTTCCTTTTAGATTTCCATTCCATCACACAACAGCATGACACAGGCAGGAGTTAAGAATGAACAGCTGCATATTGAGCCACCCAAGGTGCCAACACAGGAGCAATGCCCTCTCAGGGCTGCAGTCTGTGCAGGATCAGCTCTACTTTCAACTCCCTTTCTTACATGCTACTTCATTTATTTTACACAAGTCCACTAAATGACTCTACAAAATATAAAGACTGCCTTTGTCACAAAGTCACCTGCGTGTTTAGAATGGCTTTTGAAACTGTTCAGTCCACATGATAAAAACTATTTTCAAGTTGTTCAAACAATGTGAGAAAACAGGTTGGAAATCTGCTACAGGTATATACAGACCTAAATTAGAACCAAAGTCCTAAATTAAACTTCTGAACTGTCTATTACCAAAAAGTAAAACCCTACCTTCTCAAAATAAATATTTTATGCAGTGGGGTAAGCCTTTCCAAAGCAGCAGCTTTGCTTAAAAGTCCCAGTTCATTTGACCTGCAAGCAAAATCACTGAAAAGGTTTAAGACCTTTTCAAATGGCATTTACTGTGTTTTCTGGAAGGACTTAAAAAAAAACTGCAGAGAGAAAAGAAGACATTGTAGACAAACAGGAAAATTATTAGGATATTGTTAAATTATCCTTAGAATTGGAGTTAAGGCGATTTTTACAGAAAGAGCTCAGTGGCAGAATTGCCTAACAGTGCCAGAGATAGATTTGTTTTCTGCCTCAGCAGCAGAAATATTTCCTTTCCCAGGCATTCCCTCAATTGAAACAGTAATATAATGGCAAATAAGATTTTCTTCCTTTCATTCCCTCTCCATTCAGAGCTACAAAAGAGAAATAGCCTGTACCTGACTAAAGAAACCTTTTAACTCTTATGCTCCAGAGGGAAGTGCACACAGCAAACTGAGAAAGAAACCAAGGAAACAGCTCATTTAAACAACTGATAGTATTCCAA